CGGAAGAACCACCAATGCCTTTGGTGTCATTGGTTACTGGAGAACCGTTCGGGCCTCAAGTTCGTCCAATTGTCGAAAAAGATGAAGACCAAAGTTCGGACGACGAGCCTGAGTCGGAGAGCGATGATGAACTCAGACACTTGAAAGACGATGCACCAGAAGTACCCTCAGAATTTTGGCATATACAAAAGCTAATTAGATACATGAAAGCGGGTAATCAAACCGCGACTATGGTGGCGGTATGCCTTCTGAAGGATTATGACCTCACCAGTAGGGTAATTCAATCATTTCTTAACAATTTTCTCCATTTATTAAGTCTTTTTGGTTTATTAGTATATTCTTTAAAATGCAGCGCAATACGAATAAATAATGTACAAAAAACTTTTGTACGAGCACATATTATTAAAAACGTTCAGTAATGTACATACATACCTAGTAGTATATGGCTCATCCATAAATTACGTAAAGTATTTAAACGAGACAGTTGGGTTCAGTGTTTTCCTACACTTTCTTATGAAGGCAGAGGGGGGGCGTGGTCAAAATTCATTTTACGTAAGATTTGTAAGGTTCATAGAGAGTTTTAAGAATTCTAACAAAAAATTGTTTTTCCATTACTTTTCAATAATTACTGTTTATGCATGATAAGGTTTAAATGAATTTATGATTGGGAAAAGATAATATTCGTTTCTATAAGAATAGAAATCTTATTCTTTTTCCAATCATTAATTCAAATATTACATAAATAATTTTAAAAGATAAAAATAGTGTTTAAATATCGCGATCGTCCGAGAGGAAGAAACTCGGCCGCAATTTCCGTTTCTGTATGCATACGTGATGCTCTAGAAGGTTGGGCTGGCGCCGAAGTCTTTCGGCATACAGACAATTAAACCGCGGCCGTTTACGTGTTTTTGTTCGCTGACTTCGCACGAAGAATCGCTTCCAACACCAGTTTCCACTGGTATTGTGTCGTTAGTACCGAGAGAGAAAAACATATTGTTAATTGAATAGAGATCAACAATCAAAGGGTCTAGCCGAATAAGGAAAAAGAATTAGTAATCTCTAATTTTTTCAGATTTTTCGAAGGGATGGAACGCAGTCAAAAAAATAACAAATGATTAAAAAATGGTGGGAAAGCTTTACATTGCTTTAATTATTTACGTGACCATGTTCATATTTTTACAGCTATAGCATAACATTATGACTATTAATGTGTAATTTTTTCAGATTTTTTGGAAAAATTGTTAAAGAATTATTAATTCATATTTCCTAATTTTTCATACAGAAAAAGGCCGCACATGCTTTTAAAATAGATATAATTCAAATATATTTGTTTACATATTTTGTTAACTAGTCGCTGTATGTAGTTTCAAATACGTGTGGTACCGGACTCCTGTTGATTAGAACCGCCATGGTGCACAGTGGGCAAAATCCAGCTATAATGGACAAAATTCAGTAACTCAGTGAATTCTGCTGTAAATTTTTAGAAAATTGGTATCTCTAGGTTGTGTTGGACATAGATATCAAATTTTGAATAAAAATTATCGAATTCAAAATGGTCAATTCAATATGGCGGACGGAAAAATCAAAACTTAATGAATTTTTTTGAAAATTAATATACCTGAGTAACTGGGCATGCTGATTTTGAAAAAATGTGGACAAAAATCGATAACTCATTGAGTATTGAATGAAATTATCTTAATATTGATGGTCTAATGTGTCTATTTGGGGTCGCTTATTTCGAATATCAAATTAAAATTATAAAATTAACCATGGTGAATCTTATATGAAAGTGATTTCACATACAGGGTGTTCGGCTACCTCTAGCAAAAATTTTAATGAGCGATAGTAGAGGCCAAAATAAGACGAAAATCAAGAATACTAATTTGTTGATGGAGGCTTCGTTGCAAAGTTATTAACATTTAAAGTTCCGCCTGTAGAATGACAATCCGGTAAACAGCTGCGTTCGCGCGGACGGTTGCGGCAGGCGAGTGCTAGTGGTTCTCACGCAGCATGAAAAATTCTGCTTACCGACATTATCGACAGCCTTAGATTTTTGTCCACTTATGGGAATGCGAACACCTTACGTTGAATAAGATTCAACCTGTCTTATGAAAATCCAGAAGGGCATATCAAAACTCGCACGACGAGATTTTCACAGAGAAAGGGTGAATGCCAGTTCCAATACACAATGTTGTGAACAAAAATCACCCACATGCGATATACACGCCCCACGATTGTCCACAGTGTCCACAAGTATCCACAAATAATCCTTTCAGGCACTAACCACTATGCAATTAAATAAACACGTACCGCGATTATGTTATTCGTGAATGTCTACGTGTACGTGTATCACGATTCTTCCGAGTTACTTACGAATAAAACTGTTATTAATTTTTCAAATACACTTCAATTTAAAAATGTAAACAGGAATTTAATAAGTATTCGCTGATTGTTTATATCACTGTATTTCTTACATGCTACTTAATACATAACTGAATCAAATATGTCTAAAATGTGTCGCGTGAACTAGCTTGACTGATACTGTTTTTACGACTGACTAGCTGGCCGAACACGTGCCGATGCTGCCCTTTGTCTCCGCTGAGTGTGAGTGCATATGTGTCTGTGTGTGTGTGCGTGTGTGTGTGAGAGAGATAAGCGAGGCGAGTGACGTAGAATCGGGGCCTGTTCGGCATATGTTTCTCTGAACCTCGTCGATCGATGGCACAGTCAGCTGCTAGTATTGTTACATTCTTCGCCGTGAACGTAAATCGATGCGAAAATTTCATTTATCCTGCGATTCCTTTTTACATTTTTAAATTGAAGTGTATTTTAAAATTAATAACAGTTTTATTCGTAAGTAACTCGGAAGAATCGTGATACACGTACACGTAGACATTCACGAATAACATAATCGCGGTACGTGTTTATTTAATTGCATAGTGGTTAGTGCCTGAAAGGATTATTTGTGGATACTTGTGGACACTGTGGACAATCGTGGGGCGTGTATAATCGCATGTGGGTGATTTTTGTTCACAACATTGTGTATTGGAACTGGCATTCACCCTTTCTCTGTGAAAATCTCGTCGGGCGAGTTTTGATATGCCCTTCTGGATTTTCATAAGACAGGTTGAATCTTATTCAACGTAAGGTGTTCGCATTCCCATAAGTGGAAAAAATCTAAGGCTGTCGATAATGTCGGTAAGCAGAATTTTTCATGCTGCGTGAGAACCACTAGCACTCGCCTGCCGCAACCGTCCGCGCGAACGCAGCTGTTTAGCGGGTTGTCATTCTACAGGCGGAACTTTAAATGTTAATAACTTTGCAACGAAGCCTCCATCAACAAATTAGTATTCTTGATTTTCGTCTTATTTTGGCTCTACTATCGCTCATTAAAATTTTGACTAGGAGTGGCCGAACATCCTGTATATTGTCAATCGTTTGATAGAGTATACATATATTGACCGTAACCGGTCAAGGGGGCGATATGTTCAGGCGTGCATCCGGGCCCACGATTTTGTCCACGCGTTTTATGACTACGGCTAGCGTGCCTTCGTTACGCTCGAGTCCCCTACCGATCCATTGTTACAAAATTCCTATGAAAATCATAAACTCTAAAAGCGCAACATTCGCAGTGCTCGTGAGTTGTCATCGGCCACTTTACTATTTTTTTTGGACACGCATTGGTTTCGACACCAGGGACCTCCGGAACTTTCCCCGAACGGAAAATTCCTACGCCGTGCACTTCCCCTTAGAATTAGAAATAGTCACACCCACTACCACCGTCAACCACCAATCAATCAAAATTTGCACACCCCCATCCGCAACATTTTCCACCAATAGCAATAGAACCGAGATTATGTAAACCGCGAGTATCGTCAAAAATGTCACTTTTTCCTTTGTAAAGTCAACCTGAGCATTCAAAATAAAGAACACACCAAACCGCTGTCTAAGTGCATTATTTATAAGAAATCTGCTTCGACGACATTAATTTGCCGAACGAGCAAGCCGGGTTCGCGACTTGAGAAACTTAAAATTTCTTACAAGAAAGTCCGCGATCATATTCGATACAAACGCTAACCTTCCAAAGTGTCACGTGCACAAACAAAATCGTTAATCGCGGCCGAGTTTTTTTTCCTCGTACTAATGCGATATTTAAACAAATGTGTTAAAATATCGCTGAAGACTACAACATATCCAAAGTTAACATAATTTGAAAACTTATTTCAAAAGGTATTCTATTTCGCGTGGAATTATTCAATTGGTATGGTGTACAAAAATCACATTGTTAAAAGAATTCAATTTACAAAAGGGAAAAACTACGTGAATACGAAAATTTTTATTTCTTATACAGAAATAGAGAGGTCAATATAAGTTAATATAGTAGAACCTCTATTAACTATACTAAAAATAATTAATTAGGGGTTACAAAAGCACAGATAATCAATTTAGTATATGTTAGAGATATAAGTTGGCAGCCATTGTGAGTTGACAAGAGTGGCTGCACGCCGGTTGAGTGCCACACGGTGTGGCACACTTGCTGTCCGACCAATAACGTTATGTAGTTTAGTTTTTTTTTGTAACTTCCATCTGTGTAATTATATAACATATATTTTTGTTTTTGGCCTACGATGATTATGTTTAAATATGCCTAAACCTTATACAACAATTGGTAGCAGAGCGTGGTTAGGCTTGAGTATAATTATTTAAAAGTGAAAAGTGTTGTAGAGGTTAGGAAAGGCATATGGCGAAGAAGGAAAAAAAAAGAGATTGGAACAATGGCTGATGGAACAGGTATCTCGCTCAGTAAAATTGAGTTGTTAAATGGGAAGAATTACCATACGTGGGCGTTAAAAGTAAAATCAGTGCTAAAAGCTCGTGAACTATTTCGAGAAATAATTGAGGGTGATGAACCGCCAGAAGATGAAAACCCTGAATCCGTCGCTGGGAAACGAAGAACCACGTGGTAAAGGAAAAACGACGAGGTGTTTGAAATAATTATTATGACATTAAGTGAGGACCAGGCAGGGTTATTTTTAACAGAAGAATCAGCAAGGAGGTTGTGGGAAGAATTAAAGAGAATACATGTGGAAAGTACCATAGAGCTACACATAGATATAGGTCTAGAATTACAGAACATAAAAATGAATAATGGGGAATTGGTCAAGGATTACATAACAAGGGCTAAGAACATTGTGTCAAGAAGTGCCAGTATAGGGTATCCCATTGAAGATAGGGAAGTAACATACCACCTGGAAAGAGGACTGCATACAAAATATAAAAGAGTGGTGATAGTGCTTAGGGCCCAAAGATCACTAAAATTAGAAGCAGAGGAATGTAGAGTGAGTCGAGAAACAGAGGGACAAGCAGCTGGAAATAGTAGAGACGGAAAGGTATATAGGATGACCAAGCGCTATCATTACAAAGAACCCTCTGAGTGTTTTGTGTGTGGGAAAATAGGGCATATAGCAAAATATTACTATCGGAATGGGAGAACCTCACAGCCAATAGGTAATAGAGGCAAGTACAACAATAATTCAAATAATAGTAGACCTGATTATAGAGGTAGAATTTTTAATATCAGAAGAGAACAAGGGAATATAGCTACTGCACCAAGAAATGAGCATACATTTCAGGTGAAAGAGAAGGGTAGTTATATATCAACAATGGGAAAAGAAAACAAGATGGAAGAGTGGACACTTGATTCAGGATCAACTGCTCACATGACCCCAAATATCAAGTATATGACAAACATTAGAGAATACAGGACTAACATAGATGTAGCAGAGACCAATAGATCATTGGAAGCAGAAGCGATAGGTGATATAAGAATCGTAAAAATGATAAATGGACAAGAGGAAACAATAAAAATTAAGGATGTCCTATATGTACCTCGTTTAAGAGCCAACCTATTATCAGTGAGTAAACTAATTAATGAAGGCAACAAGGTGATATTTGAAAATGGCATGGCCATAGTTGTTGATTCGTCAGAAGAGATGATAAGTAAACTACTAGAGAGAAATGGAATGTTTATATTTATGGCAAAACCGAAAAATAGTTGTTTATTGAGTAATGAACAAGATTCAGAAGCAACAAGGAAGCAATCGGAAGACTGGAAAATGCACTGGCATTGCAAATGCGACGACTAGGGCATATATGCGAAGAATTTTTGGACAAGATGAGGTCTAATGGCTCAGTCAGACACCTCGATTTTGAACCAGGAAAGTTGGAATTATGTGAATCGTGCACAATGAGTAAACTCACCCAGTAGCCAAATGCACGGGTATGGCATGCACAAGCCAAGAGTCCATTGGAACTCCTACATATTGATGTGTGGGCCAATACCAGTACAATCGCTAGGAGGATCCAGGTATTTATTTGTAATAGTTGATGAATATAGCAAATATGATAAGGTTTACTCCATGACGAACAAGGCAGACACGTATGAATATTTCACGGAATATGTTAGAAGATATGAAAAGGAATTAGGAGCCAAAGTAAAGAAAGTTCGATCGGATAATGGAAAAGAATTCGTAAATAGCCGATTTAAGGAAAACTTTAGCAAGATGGGGATTAATCATTAAAAGACTATACCATATAACCCGCAAAGCAATGGGGTTGCCGAACGAGCAAATAGGAACATAATAGAGAGGACTAGAACAATGCTGATAGATGCGAAGCTACCGGGAAAGTTTTGGATGGAAGGAGCCGTAACGGCAGCATACTTAAAAAATATAACAATAACGCGCGAGTGTACAGACATGACACCACAAGAGAAATGAAATGGACATCAACCATAGACGTCCCAAAGGGGTACAGGATATATGATCACAGAGATGGAAAAATAAAGGTAGCTAGAACAGTAAAATTCAATGAGGACGCAAAAGGCTCTGAAATGCTGGAGAAGCAGGAAGATAGGGGAATAGAAATATCAATTGGCGGGATGGAAATAGGAGTGCACGAGCGATTAGATGGTCGTGGAGAAGAAATGCAAACTGAGAGAGAAAGCATGAATGAACAAGAAAATCTGCCACAGGAAGAAGAGACGTTTGAGCAAATGGCAGAGCCAGCTAAAGAAGAACGGAAGGGAAGAAGAACATATGCTGAAGAACAGGTGGCAATGTTACAGGCTAAGGAGGAACGAGAGAAAAAGCTTCGAGAGGAAGGAGCAAGAAGATCGAGAAGAATACAAGAGAAATTACAGAAAGCGAATCTAACGATCCAAAACGAGTCTGTACCTAATAACTACAAGGATGCCTTGGAAGGAAACAACAAAAGAGAATGGGTTCATGCGATGGAAAATGAATTAGCAAATATGGAAAGACATGAGGTCTGGGATCTAGTACTCAGAATAAAGGGAGTGAAGCCAGTGAGGAGCAGATGGGTATTCACAACAAAAAGAGAAAAGAATGGAAAGAAGATAGAGTATAAGGCTCGGTTGATAGCTGTAGGGTGCAACCAGAAGCCAGGGGTACATTATAAGGAGTCTTTTGCTCCAGTACTAAAATTGGGCAGTGCAAGAGCATTGTTAGCAATGGCAGCCATGCAAAAACTAAAAATTAAACAATACGATGTAAGGTCCGTATATCTATATGGACAATTAGAGGAGGTAGTATACAGGGTGTTCGGCTACCTCTAGCAAAAATTTTAATGAGCGATAGTAGAGGCCAAAATAAGACGAAAATCAAGAATACTAATTTGTTGATGGAGGCTTCGTTGCAAAGTTATTAACATTTAAAGTTCCGCCTGTAGAATGACAATCCGCTAAACAGCTGCGTTCGCGCGGACGGTTGCGGCAGGCGAGTGCTAGTGGTTCTCACGCAGCATGAAAAATTCTGCTTACCGACATTATCGACAGCCTTAGATTTTTGTCCACTTATGGGAATGCGAACACCTTACGTTGAATAAGATTCAACCTGTCTTATGAAAATCCAGAAGGGCATATCAAAACTCGCCCGACGAGATTTTCACAGAGAAAGGGTGAATGCCAGTTCCAATACACAATGTTGTGAACAAAAATCACCCACATGCGATTATACACGCCCCACGATTGTCCACAGTGTCCACAAGTATCCACAAATAATCCTTTCAGGCACTAACCACTATGCAATTAAATAAACACGTACCGCGATTATGTTATTCGTGAATGTCTACGTGTACGTGTATCACGATTCTTCCGAGTTACTTACGAATAAAACTGTTATTAATTTTTCAAATACACTTCAATTTAAAAATGTAAAAAGGAATCGCAGGATAAATGAAATTTTCGCATCGATTTACGTTCACGGCGAAGAATGTAACAATACTAGCAGCTGACTGTGCCATCGATCGACGAGGTTCAGAGAAACATATGCCGAACAGGCCCCGATTCTACGTCACTCGCCTCGCTTATCTCTCTCACACACAGCGGAGACAAAGGGCAGCATCGGCACGTGTTCGGCCAGCTAGTCAGTCGTAAAACAGTATCAGTCAAGCTAGTTCACGCGACACATTTTAAACATTTTGATTCAGTTATGTATTAAGTAGCATGTAAGAAATACAGTGATATAAACAATCAGCGAATACTTATTAAATTCCTGTTTACATTTTTAAATTGAAGTGTATTTGAAAAATTAATAACAGTTTTATTCGTAAGTAACTCGGAAGAATCGTGATACACGTACACGTAGACATTCACGAATAACATAATCGCGGTACGTGTTTATTTAATTGCATAGTGGTTAGTGCCTGAAAGGATTATTTGTGGATACTTGTGGACACTGTGGACAATCGTGGGGCGTGTATAATCGCATGTGGGTGATTTTTGTTCACAACATTGTGTATTGGAACTGGCATTCACCCTTTCTCTGTGAAAATCTCGTCGGGCGAGTTTTGATATGCCCTTCTGGATTTTCATAAGACAGGTTGAATCTTATTCAACGTAAGGTGTTCGCATTCCCATAAGTGGACAAAAATCTAAGGCTGTCGATAATGTCGGTAAGCAGAATTTTTCATGCTGCGTGAGAACCACTAGCACTCGCCTGCCGCAACCGTCCGCGCGAACGCAGCTGTTTAGCGGATTGTCATTCTACAGGCGGAACTTTAAATGTTAATAACTTTGCAACGAAGCCTCCATCAACAAATTAGTATTCTTTATTTTCGTTTTATTTTGGCTTCTACTATCGCTCATTAAAATTTTTGCCATAGGTAGCCGAAGACCCTATATATGGAGCAACCGCCGGGTTTTGAGAAAGATTTAGGGAAAGTATGCCGTTTAAAGAAGAGCATACATGGACTCCCGCAATCGGGACATTATTAGAATAAGAAGATAAATGATACATTAATCAAAGAGGGGTGGAAAAGAATTGAAGAGGACCCGTGGGTATACAGGGTGGTCCACGCAATTGTTTCAAATCATAACTTCGTTATTATTGCATTTACGAAAAAATGCCAAAGGAGAAAGATAAATGGTTCGATGAGCATTATATCTGTAGGCCTTTAAATTTTTTTTAGATGCAGCAGTGCATGTGCAATTAACAATTGCATCATTTCTTTAAATTGAAATGCATATTTTTGTTTACACAGATCGATTCTTCTGTTCATTCTACGTAAAAAATGATTAGGGTACCATGGCAAAAAAATTATTAGATCTCGAGATATTTTCAAAAAATGTCTTTATTGAAGATGCTCAAACGCTTCTCCATTACATTCTAAACATTTCTGATAACATTTTTTTATTGTTTGCATAATTGCGTTTAAATTATCTGCAGTTATTGCTGCACATTCCAGTATGATTCTTTCTCTCAGATTCTCTACAGAATCTATGGGATTTGAATAAATTCTATCTTTCAAATAACCCCACAGAAAAAAGTCAAGGGGACTTAAATCAGGTGAACGGGCTGGCCATCGTATTGATGTATTTGTTGCGATAACGTTATTGCAAAACTTATTTTTTAGAAACCGCACTTTTTCAAATTCTTAGTTTTCGTACTCGAGTTACGGTATGTGAATTGCTACTGAATGATGAAATGCTTACTCGTACAAATTAGTTTCTGTTATGATAACAATGTCGAAAGGTTGTTTACCTTTACAACATAGTCATGAAGTGTTTGAGTATCTTCTTCAATAAAGACATTTTTTGAAAATATCTCGAGATCTAATAATTTTTTTGCCATGGTACCCTAATCATTTTTTACGTAGAATGAACAGAAGAATCGATCTGTGTAAACAAAAATATACATTTCAATTTAAAGAAATGATGCAATTGTTAATTGCACATGCACTGCTGCATCTAAAAAAAATTTAAAGGCCTACAGATATAATGCTCATCGAACCATTTATCTTTCTCCTTTGGCATTTTTAAGTAAATGCGATAATAACGGAGTTATGACTTGAAACAATTGCGTGGACCACCCTGTATATCCAAAAAAAGCAGGGCAGTGTCGTAATCATGAGCCTGTAGTGGCTAGCTCGCACAACAAAAGAAACATTTGGCGTGCAAATGCTAGCGTGGCTTACGACAAGCAAAGTCGAAAAGGCCACTTTTGAGAAAGCCGTTTCTTACGAGTTTTATTAGCCAGCATGTTTTTCGTCGAAGATTTCTAACGGCCTCAGTGGCATATTGCACATGTCATAAACCAGGGATTTCCGAAGGGCTGCAACGCCAGGTCAAGCGACCCTCGGCGGGTGACATCACCAGGCCTGGACTTGGAGGAAATTCCGCTGCATTGCCAAACTTCCGTCGACAAAGCTACCCCCACCGGGTCACATCGCCTTTCCCAAAAAGCGCGTCAAGGGCGCAAGGAGTAGGCGGTGACTTCGGAATTGCAAGATGCTTAATTGGTTAACTTCGACGCATCGGTTGAACCAATTAGGCGACTGCAAAGAGTTCGAGGAAAAAATTATTTTGTACAGAAGTCAGTCTTCGCCACGACACCCAGTGAACAACACCTTCAGAATAAAGAATACAAGGCGAACTTTGCGATTGCATTTAAGACCCATTCTTATCCTCACACGCAACCACCTCAGGCCTATACGTAGACGACTGCCTGTTGTTAGGAACAAGCGAACATGCAGTCGATGAAGAAATGCGAAAATTGGGAAAATATTTTGAATTGAAGGAAATAAAAGAAAAGAGGTTTTTAAATATACGAATACAAGAAGGCGGAGA